AAAATAAGGAAAGTGAAAGGAACTTTTAAATGATGAATAATTAATTAAAAAAGAAAAATACTAGTTTAATTAAATATATAAATTAAAAAAACACGCGTCACAAAATCAGAAGGATAAGTTGTATGGAAAAAAGAGTGCATATAAATTCAGTTTGTACCGGAGGATGACGATTGATTAAATTAGAATTAATAGCATCATATATCGATTAAAATTAAATAACAAGAAATGTTTTTATAAGTTCTTTTCTTTGACAAAATGTTTAGGTAGAGAAGTTGAATTCAAGAATATTTTATAAATATTTTAAAAAGTATTTATAAAAAACTTACATTCATTTTTCTCTAAGAAAAAAAAAAGTAAAGATTTAATATGAGAAATCATGCTCTCCCCATTCTTAATTAATGAAACTAAGTTTGTTTGGGAGCCAATAATATTAAAAAGATAATATAAGAAGTTATTATATCTTATTTTAGTCTATATGGTGGGTTAAAGGGATGAGATAAACATATCTAAGTTATATTCACTAGTTCAAAAATTTTTAAGGAAGAATTAGATTAGTAAGTAGAAAGGATAGAACAAATTTTTTTCTTTACCCTTATCTTAAACTATGTAACTTCTTTATTCTATTACCATTATTATAACAATTATTGTTTTATTATTATTATTATTATTATCAAAATTATTTTCATTGCTTTCATAATCATGGTTATGATTGTTATCATCATTATTTTTTCTACCTTTGTTTTAAGTTGCAATCATTATAGTACTATTATTACCACCATACTTTTTTAATATTTTTACCTCCACATAATTATTGCTTATGTTGTCACAACCACCATTGTTTTAACAGCTGTTGTTACTGTATTATTATTATTGTCATTACTCGTATCATTATCATTGTTAGCATTATCACACTGTCATTAAAATTATTGTAATAACTATTATTGTTAATGTTGTTACATTTGTTATTATTGTTGTTAATATTGCTTTTAAATTTATCTCCTCTCAGATAAAATGTGTAAAGTGAAAAATAATAATGATAACAACAATCAAATCTTATCTCACTGTAAAGTTTGTCTTTAAAAATATATTTACTTTTGATTTGAAGTTAATTATATTTAGAAAATATATGAATTCAAGTTAACAATAAATAAATATTAACATATTTTTTTATTTTTTTTCTTTAAATAAATTATATCAATCGCACACTTTTTATAAGGATAGTTTTATCATTTGAATATATTTTATATTATTATTTATTAAGTTATCATATTGTTTGAGTGAAATTTTTGTACTTAAACTTACCTACTTATCTATTCATTTTTTTATGTTGGATTGATAACTGTTGCAAACTTTAAAAGGGATCTTTATGTCAATTTAATATAATTAATAAGATTAAAAAGCATCGAAAAAAGTAACATAGAAAAATAACTAAAATTGCACTGAAGATAAGGTTAAATTTGATTGAATGACTCAAAAATAATAAAGCACATGAAACATGAACTTGAATTTCAAAGTTGAAACTAAACATACTCAACGTTTTTTATAAGACTGCCAAAAGTGAACATGATGTATTGATTTAGGAAGCGTATTGAAGATATGTGTGAACAGTGTATTTGCAACTTGGGTGGTTGTCTCCAAAAGTGAACTGTGTATTTGCATTATTATTTTTCCTGGGTTGTTGTCTCCAAATTTTGCTTAAGAATCTTCGGTATAATATTTGCAACTTTTAAAATAAATGTTAGAAAAGTCCTTAAAATGTCATCCTTCTCTTGAACAATATTTTAAGATTCTGTGTATAAATTACAAGAAAAAATAACTGTCAAAACATGTTGAACATGCTCTGACATGAGCTAAACTCATGTCCTGAGACATGCTAAATGCTAATATCTACTTAGATCACGTTTTGATACATGTATGTGGTGGTATTTGTTGCTAGGTGAGAGTAACTGCTACTAATTACTATTGATATGCTCAATCACATTGATGAACTTTCTCTAGTCAAAGGATTTCAATTGAGATTGTTCTTACATTTGAGGCTTGATTGTCCTAGGATCCAAACCTATAAGATCAAAGCTCATATAGAGTGAACTTAACTAATTCGATGATTACTATGAAATTATCTTTACGATAAGATTATTTATTGACTTTGACCATTTAAAAAGATAAATGGACTTAATTGATTAAATGAGTGAATATAAAGTTATTTTTGTTGTTGATGTTTTACTATTTAGGAAGACAAATGAATTTAATTGATTCAAAAATGAATATGAAGTTATTTTTATAGTAGAATCACTAATAGACTTTGATCAATTATGAAGAAAACATATAATTGATTTAACAATTAATATAAAGTCATCTTTACTGTTAATATTTGACTATTTAGGAAGACAAATGAAATTAGTTGATTCGGCCATAAATATAAAGCTATATTTACAATGCATTTAACTTATTGACTATTTTACCTATGTGTATTTTTTTATTTGTATTTGAGAAGGTACTTAAAATTGTAAAAAAAATTTATCAGTGACGTTGACAACTTAAAAAGTTGGGTTAAAATTGTAAAAGTCTTTAGTAATAATGACCTCAACTCAACTCGAGAAGTTTAAGATTATCGGTGATATTAAAAATTTGATCAATTATACACCTTAAAGTGTAACTTTACAAAATGTCCTAAGAATTGAAATATAATTAAGACCTAATATAAATCTATAGAAGTTTTTGTTATTAACATCAAAGATTTGTTCAATCTTTCACCTATCTTCTAAGCAGTAAAATGATTAAGACCTATCAGTGTAAAACAGTAAAAGACTTTATTAGTGACGTCAAAAATTTAATCAATGATGTATCTTGACGTGTGACTCGAGTAAAGCAAAATTTGTGTCAATTATACTCGCGTTGGTCACGTACTTAACCTTAAAAGCGTCATGTATATAATCGTTCTGTGATTCGGAAATTCAGTATGTTTTAAACATGTTTGAGGTCAAACCACTGTAACGAACCCTGATACGTATATACACCAAATACTACATGAATCAAGAGCTTATTTCACTTCAATTATTTCTTACTTTTATTCTAATTATCCTTATCCTATTTCAATTACCGTACAAGCCGCAAACTCTCCATGTGACTGCAATATTATAAAGTTCTTTTTCTTAAAAATATAAATAATGAAGTCCAATTGATTGATATTTGTTTATGAAGCCTAATTAATAAAAGAGTTTTGTTAACAGAGTTAAGGATAAAAATTTAATATTAGTAAAATTTTATTAGAAGGAAAAATATTTATTATATTTTTTTAATTTTAATATAATAACTGTGTATTATTTTATAATTTTTTTTATTTATAGATTCTTATATTCAGCCGTAAAGACTGATATTAACAAATTCCTTAATAAAATGAAACGTGATTCACGCTAACTTTTGTCTAAACAATATTACTAGTCGTTTATTGACTGATATGGTCGATCCACTTATAAAAGTTGTCTTAATTTTGGAATTTTCAATTTCAAGTTATATTTGGACAACCTATACTTTAAATACCGTAAGACTAGTACTAGTATGTATTGATTTTTCAAACCCCAAAACTGTTTGGTGGCCTTCATTTTAAGTTTTTTATATATATAAAAAAGGAAAGAAAACATCGTTTTCACTTTCTATATATTGAATTGCATGGCTGTCCTAATTATAAGGTGATATTTACCATAAATTCCCATTGTGTGTGGGCTCTTCTCGAAAATGACCAGTGATTGAGCCTGTCAGGCATTTATCAAATCGAAATTATTGTTTCACACCTATTAAATGAATATAAAAATGATAAATGATATAATAAAATTAAATAAATAATAAGAGATATATATTTTTAGTACTTCTGCAATATCTATTTTTTTAAAAGCAAAAAAGTATGGCCTGTAGGGTTAGGTTTTTAAGATGAAAATAACAGTAGGTACTATAGAATATTGAAATTTTGTCCTTAAAAAAAACATAAAAAGTTATATATAGAAAATGTTAGTGAGAAAGTAAGTGCGAGAATATAATACTTTTTATCAAACGGTGACGTGATTGAATTGAAATTTTTTAGTTAGTCGATATAATATTGAGTCATTAATCAATATAGTCGATAGAGTGCATTAACAACGTGTGGATAATCTGGCTATGGTGGCTTGAATAGGGGATGAAGAATATCAAAGTCTTCATACACGTTTTTGCTCCCCACAAGACTAACGATAGTGGATGATAGGACCACCGTTACTTTGTAATATTCCAGCCACTCTGTTTGGTACTTTTCTTTGGGTACATTTCTTTTGGCACTGTGATTATTATGAGAATAGCATGCAAACAGAAACCATTACTGGAATAGCGACCAAAGAGACATTAATGGTGCAAACGGGTCAAGCACTAACTTCTATACTAAAAAAAAAGCTGATCATGAAAGAAGGCAATTGCAGAGTACTTGTACTGATTGTTTCCACAGATAAACATAAAGCAATAATCCAAAGTTGGCTGCAACTAGTGAAGGCAACTATGTTAAAGTTGTGTCATTTTAATAGCTCAAATTCATGCCATAGTTCAATTTGTATAAGTTTTTCAAAATTTTTAATTTTTTTAGAAGTTTTTTCATTAATCTTTTTAAAAAAATTTTAAAAAATTATTTTAAACTTATAAAAAAAGTTTTTATTCATTTTATATATTTTTTTTCTCATAAAAAAATTTACTAAATTCGGCTTGTATCTTTTTTCCTTAAGCAACACTAGCAGTGAGCTTTAGTTAGTATCCCACTAAGGCAACTATAGAGAAGCCACATTAACAACCCTGTCCCCATCATTCATTTTCTTTCTTGAATTGACTTTGGCAATAATTAAATTTGAGATAAGAAAAATAAATAAAATAAGACAAGTCTGACAAATTCAAGTTTCTATTTTTTTCTAATTCACCCTTGAACTGAAAAGAAGAAAGAGAGAGCTTTAACTAACAATCCAATAATTATATTTATGTTCCATCGAAGAGTAGGAATTAATTGGATCCGATAGATACAAACGTGAGATGATCAATTATTCAGATGCAAATTAATAGACTGTGCACTGCAAATTACTTAATTAGAATTAGATTATTTGGAAGTCAAAGATTCAACTTGCGCTTTTCCAGATGGTCCTTTTGTCCTAATGTAAAGTCTGTACTCATCAAATGTCTTTGCTGGGTAGAGTGCTGGCCTATCCTCAGTCACAAGATCCTTAGCAGGTTGAATCGGTATATCGCTCCTAGGATTGTAAAAGAAGGCCAATGAAACTCGATCTTTGTTTGAGTTCACGATCACCCTGTGCTCTATACTCTTGTAAATTGCATTGCTCAGCACCTATAATTAGATTAACCATGCAAATTGAATATATAAGTTATCACATAAGGTATTGCAAATTTAATAATTACAATCAGTAACTAAATGTTGAATTATGTACCTCTACAAAGAAACTAAGTGTATGTTAAATTTGAAAAAAAAAACTATATTAATTTATTTCACAAATAGTTACAAATATTTTAAATTATTTTTCTCATTTTTTTCGAAGAATTTTATTATTTTTACTTTGTTGTATAAAATTTGAAAGTACAAACTAAATAAAAAATAAAAGTAGAGACAAAAATATTTTTGTAAAATGAAAGAAGCTTAATCAAGCAATGAGCATGTAACAGGTTGACAAATGAAAATGCTTGAATATTCAATATAGAGACCTGAATTTGGTCACCAATGTTGATGATGAAAGCATTTGGGACAGGCTTAACAGTGATCCAATCTTCTCCTCTTCGTACTTGAAGTCCAGACACATTATCGTCAGGGAGAAGAATGGTCATACCACCAGGGTCTGAGTGAGAGGATAGGCCAAGAGTGAGGTCAGGTTGTGGGCACTTTGGATAGAAATTCACCCTTAGGCAAGCACCAAGATCACTTTCCCCACCAAATGCATCTAGAAGGAAATCCTTTCTCAACCCAAGATTTATTGACATTATCTCAAGTATCTTTCCTCCTAGCTTAACAACTTCCTCACCATATTCAGCAATCACATGCCTATTATCAACAAAAGACACGTAGGGAAAACAAATGTTTCAATGGAATTCAAGGTTTTACTTCTTTACATATATTGATTCTTCATTTTCCATTGCTGGGATATATTAATTACAATAAAATAGTAAGTAAAACCAAAACTAGAAATTCAATATGCATTTTGAAATATATATATATATATATATATAATGCATTGCCTTGGTCAATCACGTGCATGTATTTGTGGTTATCCATCTTAGGAGGGATAAGGTTGTACATCCCATAAATGTAATTCCAACAAGTAAAGAACACAAGCAAAAGTCCTCAATATATTAATTTATGGTCACCACATAGATAGATCCAAATTAAAATAACTAAGTTGCAGATTTTTCGCAGCGATCATAGTTAGGCAATAAGCTAGGTTTCAATGAGCTCTAAATCTAAAATCTAAGTACTATGAAAGTGAGTTGAGCAGATGAAAAGACTAAAATTGATTAAAGGTTGTGGGTAGGTTGAATATATTTTAAATAAAACATCTATCAGTGCCTTAAAATTTTAAAATAAAATTTGGTGTAGGTTTTAATAAAGAATAAAAAAAACTTGAGTGTGTGCATCATCTGTTTACTTTATCTTTTCCACACAGCTCATTATTTGAATTCTACTCTCTCCCTTGATTATTTTAATAATTTTTATTTTATGTTGACATCTGTCTTTAACATAGAAATCGCCACGTTTTTCATATGGGTGTACGGTGTACTTGTTTACGTTTCAAAGTGTTAAACAAGTGTTAACTACTAGACCATTTGAAATGGCACAACCCCACTAACTGGTTTCAAGTTCGCATGGCTGAAAACTCCAAACGCTTTTTGATCAATTAAATATCAGAACTAAAAAAATTGAAGATCCTCATCGTGTGCCACACGGCTTTGTGAAGCACACTACAAGTTGCCGGGTCTAATCCAAGCATCTCAGATTTTCATTTTCATGTCTACAATTAAAGAGATCACTTAATTACATCCATTTAACTAAACGTATTCTTTCTTTAAGAACATGATAGAAGAACTAACAAATGTACGTAACTGTCTTGTTTTTATTAAAGCATTATGACACTTTTTACCATACCAATTTTGAAATTTATTTTTACAACAAATGAATAGAGAAGGAAGATAAAAAATAAATAAATTTTAAGATAATGATTATTTTAAGAGTAAAATTAGAAGAAACAAATTAATTTTTTTAAATTGTAAAATAACAACTATTTTCAGAAATATAGTGGTTGTACAAAGGGATTAATGTATAATTTAGTAAAGCAAGTGTTAATTAATTAAAGATCTAAAAATATTAGTTAAAATTAAAATTATTTTTATTTTTAATTCTTTAACCAAAATTCATTTAGTAAGTATACATGCACCCATAGATTGCCAAAACAAAGAAGAACCTGGTTAACCACTAGTTGCTTTTACAGCCACTTTTATACTAATTAGAAGAAAGTGTCTCTCTCTTCTATTCTCTTCTCCTTTATAAGGAGTACAGTAAAATAAATAATCCAATTTTTTTTTTCTTTATCTTAAAGGAAGCTGACGTAGTTTTGGCATATTGAGTTCGACATAGTTTAATGAAATAACTTTTTTATCAATTTTATTATAGATTAAAAAAAAGTGATTAAAAGTGGAAAGCGTGAGAGAGAGAAAAAAATGAAAATATTATTTTAAAAATTGGTACTTTTAAAAACCCAAAAATTAGAAATTTTATTTAAAATATTATTAACTAATATAGATCTGTGATGATTTTTAATTTAATTTTTAACAAGGTAATAGTCAATAATTTATATATTTCACAAATTTTAAAAAATTAAAAATAAGTAAATAAAAAGGAAATAATTTAACAAAAAAAAGGGAAAACGCATATAAAATTAGAATGATTGTGCAGAAAAGATTATTTGATCTGAGTTTGATAAAGGGAAGAGTACCTTAAGGAAGCTGGTAGGGTAGGCCACTTGGCTTGGTCCCTAAGGGAACAAGGCATGTAATGGAGAAAGAAGTAGTCACTCCAATCCAAAATAGCACCTTTTTTAACTCCCAACCTACTTCCATACCCCTCATAAGTAAGTGGTGAATTTGCATACTCCTCTTTAACCTCAAGTGGTTGGTTAAAGAACTCGCGCCACAGCTCCCTCGCATCATTCATCAACTCATGCCTCACCCCATGATTCACCACTTGGAAGAACCCCCATTCCCTACATGCCTCAGAAACACGCTCTAGTGTTTCCACCCTTAGCCTATGGTCCTTACCATAGATATGTTGCATATCAATCACTGGGATATTGATGTTGTTGTTAGACCAATAAACTTGGTTTGATGCAGAAGTGCTAGTGGCTACCCTTTGGGACTTTGGCTTTATGAAACGTTCAGGGATTGTGGTTAAGCCACTTTCGGCCAAGGCTTGGACTCGAATCACTGGCTCAGGCCACTCTTGACATGCCATCATTTTGTGCCTTACACGCAAAAAGTTAAAAGGAGATAATGGAATGAAACACAACACTACTTGTGTTGTGTGTGTGTGTGTGTTGTGGGATTGAGAGCAACAAAGAGAGGGGCTATATATAGATGGCAACAACACGAGGGGCATTTCGGCGCCGTGATAAAATTGATTTCCTCATGGTCGTAACTCGTTTGATAGAAAATATAGTAAATAATATTTATTATTATATTTTAAATTATTTTATTATTTAGTTTTTAATTTTTTCCATTATTTATTTATGTATTTCGTTTAAAATATTAATTTAAATAGGATGCTATCATTATATGCATATGTATATTTCATTTTAGTAGATTAAAATATTATTTAAATTTTTTCCCTTATTCATCCTCCATATTAATTGTGGAAGCGTTCTAAAATTTAATAATTTCCACAGTGTTATTCATTATTGTGGAAGTGTTTGCATGGAAGAAGTTTTACGGAAATGAATTGTGCTTATGAAATAGATTTTGTCATTCGTAACTTTTCTTTAACCTATCTTAACAGAATAATTTATGGAAAAGTTTGCCAAAGTAAACTTTGAAGTCATAAGCTCCTATTTAATATATATTTAATCAAGTTATTTAAATAAAAAATATGATAACTTTATGTGAATACGTTGAACAGCGTAAAATTTTTTTATATTATTATTTAATATGAAAATTATTGTTATATAATTAAAAATTATTAATTTTCATGATAATCTTTATATATAAAAGAACGATAATAAAGAACAATATTTTATTCTCAAAATAAGGGTAATATAGTAATTTAACATTTGATTTACTTACAAATATATATAATCCAATGCCAATTTTTCATCACAATACTGAATTTAAATTTCTTATAAATTTTGGTAATCAGTTGATTAAAATAAATTTTATTTTTTATTTATCAAATATAATAACGTAAAAGTTGAACAAGTTTAATATTTCTTTCAAAGAAACAATTAGATTATCGGATTCTTTTGGTAAAATTTATTGTAATATTACCTTTAGAATATTCCAAATATTAACATTTTATCACAATAATGAGTTTAATTTAATTAACCTAATAAATTCTGTTTTCTTATAACATTAAACTATGAATTGATTTGTTCCATATTTATATTTCTGAAATGGGTTAAGATCAAATTATATTATAAATCAAACTTATATTAGAGAGCAAGAAATTTAAAATATAAACCTTAGGAAGAAATAATTAGATTATGAATTTTTTTTATTTTTTCAAAATTTATTACCAATAGTTTTAGAATATTCCATTCATATTACATAAGTTATAACTAATTTAATAATTAATTATAGTTTTTAATATTTAAATAAAAGTATGAAAACATTTTTAAAATAATAATTTGATTAGTTGTAGTTTTTTCTTTTTTGTGTAAGGTGAAACTGACATAGTTGAAGATAATTCATGCATGAAAATTTTGTATTAATTTTTTAATAATTAAAATTGTATAAATAAATTTTTAATCATTTAATTCGTTTAATAATTTATTATAGATATTTAATTTTGTTAATATTGAGAGTACTTTTTCCTTCGAAACATAGGGTAATATAGAATTTAACCTTTAATTGGGTATTTTTATCTTTTATTTACATTAAATCCAAATAGAAACATTAAAACAAATTAATAAGATGTTTTAATTGATTCAATAAAAGTGATTTACTAATAAATTTAATTCATAAGTTGATAGATAAATGTTTTATTTTACACATATATCCAACAACGAAATCGTCATTAGCATCACAAATAAGGCTTTCGCAAGCAGCTGGACACCCTCCTATTTGCATTTAACAACATTCAGTCTTAAAGATCCTTATTCAAGAGAATACCACTTCACATATGTAAAATCCTAAATCCTATAAGAAGAACAAGTGCCAGATTCCTGAAATAAAAAATCAAGTGTGAGATATATGCTAAAATCTAATATGCAAGATAACGAGGAGCAAGAAATTTTTTGTTAAAGATCAATAAGTTTTTATCAGTCCAAATTTTCATTAATGTTATTCCAAAAATTACATACCAAATTACCAATCATATTTATTATTAGTTGGTTTCTAGGCCAAATTAGACCTACACCAATTAGTTAGAAGAGAACTAAAAAAAGCATACCAATTAATTTGATATATTAATTGATTCCAAACTAAAAATGCATAATAGCTAGCAATTCCTTAACATATACATAATAATTTCAAGAGTTGAATTATATCTAGGATACAAAGTAAAAAAAAAAAACTTCTATGAACACGTTCACCATTAGTTAATACTTTTTTATAGACAATTTTTAATAAAAACAACTTAAATTTTCAAGTGCCAAACCATTTCTAAACTTGCTTAATAAATCTACTACTTGGCTAATAAGACTTTGTTCTTTAAAGAATATAAATATTCAAATCATATTTGTATATGCCTAATTATTCTTTCATTTCATTATTGAAGGCATTTATTTTGATATTTAATAAAAAATATTAACAAGCCTTAAAACTTATGTTAAATCATTAAACAAATATTTTCTTAAGAAATAATATTTATTTTATTTTATATTTTATAAAAAAGTTATAAATTTTATTATTTTTAAATATTTAAAATTATTTTTATAAAATTTTTAATATTTAATATTCCAGTATAATAATACAATAAAAATAATTTTTCATGATAATTATTATAATTTTTTTAACAATAGAAATAGTCATTAAAAATATTATCGATAAATAATTATTATTCAATGTATTCAATGTGATAAAAGTTTTTCAAAAATTACAAAAAATGTAGGTAAAAATTTATTTTATTCTCATTAGAAATCTTAACTTACTTTGACCGATGTTAATCACAATCTAAAAGTATTTAAAACTAATTTTAAAATTTATTTTTTAATTCATTTACTATCCTTTGTTATAATTGGTTAAATTTTAAAATTGTTTTTAGTGATAATTTATAATCTCTTAAATATGGATAATTTGATTAATAAAAATTATAGTGGCAATAATATTTATATTTAAAAAATTTAAGTAATAATATACATTCAATTATTTTAAACATTTAATGATAAATCTTTTTAAGGAATGATGATTTTGTATTAAAAAAATTAACATAAATACACATTTAAATTTTTAAAGTTTATTATAATGTGAAAACACATTATAGCATAGCACTATTTGACTTTACTTGTCCAAACTTTTCATTCTCCTTTCAAAATTTGTCTTTTCACAGTGAGGATGCTATCAACTTTCTTTAAATGATTTGTTCATATGTTCAACAACATCATCTATGATTTGCTAGAAAAACTTCATTAGTCACAATAACTAATTGCGTGTTTAATATTTTTTTGTTTAGAAAGTTTTTAAAAAACCTCATTATATGATTTGTTTGTATGTTCAACGACATCATTTATGAATTATATATAGAAAAATATCTTTATTAATCATGACAACTCATTTTACATCTAGAATTTTATGTCTCACATTATTCATGAGACTAACCTTTCACATTAATAATTTAAAAAATATAAAAAGTTAAAGTATTTATCAAGCTTAATCATGACATAAAACTTTTAAATATTTACCTCTTTCACCATCTAACCTTCCAAAAACTAGTACATATAACACAAATATTATAAAAGATTGGAAATTAATAACAATAATTTTATGTTATAAACTTATAATAGGTAAATATATGAAAAACATAAATGCTTAATGCTAAGATTTACTTAACAGATAAAAGACTTAATTATGTTTTTTGTCCTAGTAAAGTTAGCATATTTTAAGATAAGTCCCTATAAAAATTTTTTGTTAGGATTTAGTCCTTGAAAAGTTAAAAAGTTAGGATTTAATCCCTGTCGTTAACTCTCATATGTTAAATGTTCAGTACTACCACGTGACATGCCACATCATTTATTTTATAATATTTTATTATTTAAAATAAATATTTACAAAAAAAATCCGTGAACACATTTTACATATTTATAATCAAACTCTTCTTCTTTCTCCCAACACCTTCCCTTCATGGGTAGCAGCCCCACCTCCCCTCACTCCCAACAACTTGCTAAAAAATAGTAAACTCTCTTTGTAGATGCTAGTACATTCCAAAATGCGTTGCCACCAGGAAAACATGTGTTCCTAGGTTGTTGTTAGTAAGAGAGGGAAACATAAACCTTCATAACCACAGGGAAAGAAAACCCACATGCTTAAGCTCGTGTCTTTCACTCTCCTTCATGAAGAACTTCATCCAACTTTGCTGGTCTACTTTTGAGGACTTTGTTCTACACATTTTCCTATCAAGTTCAATGAATTTAGCTTATATTGGAAGCAAATTATGAGGGAGAGAAAGAGTGAAAGGGTCCCCAAAAACTGAAAACCTAACAAGAATCATGACACCTTCGAGAGTGCTGGTGGCTTCACCCTATGTCAAAACAAAGGTGTTTGTGTGTGAACACCTGAACTTGACAAAGGTAGCGAGAATGAAAAATTTGAGGCTTATGATTTAAGGAACCTCACAAATCTTACTATGGACTCTCCGTCCTCAGAAGAAACCATTGTTGCGTGTCGAGACTTATAATGCAGAAGTTTTTCAGTTCTTGTGAGTGGCAAATTAGGAATGGGCCAAGGGATACCAACCCCCAACCCCCAACCCACACCCTCCCCCCTTCCCCCTCCCCTCCTAAACATGTATTTGATGATTATGTTATATTTTATTAAGTTATTTAAAGATGGTTACAAATATATATTTTATGATTGAATAAAATGTTGACTAAACCCCACTTTGTTATTGAAAGTAGGTAAGGCATCAAGGACTGTTGAGTTTCAGACTCCACCAATAGGTTATGCTCTTGAGAGTTAGTCCTTGAGAGTGAAGGGTTTATGGAGTGCAAAGAGGTATATGGGGGATGGGGTTGGGAGTGAGTTTGGGTCTATGGGTAAGAGTGAAGGTTAAAGGTGGGGGTGAAGGTTGGGTGGGGGAATGGGGAGGGAGTGAGAGAGAAAGGAGAGGGACCATGGGGAGGTTAGGGGTGGAGGGGTTGCAAGGAGGGGGAGGGAGTGAGGTTG